CTGTAGGGTAAGCACTGGACTACTAACTGCAACGTTGGTGTTTCAAACCACCAGCCACCTCTCGGAAACCCTATACAAGGTCTGTATGAGTCAGATCTGATTTGATGGCACTTAACAACAACGATATCAACTGTATATATGTTTGTTTCAAGGAAAAGCCTCACACAGTTGTGAAGGCTTACAGTTTCAGCTTTAGTGTGTTAGGCAGTAGAGTGGAGGCTTCTCTTGACTTACATGGTTGTTGTTATTGTTAAGTGCCATTGAGTTTGTTGCGACTCATAGCAACCCTGTGTAGGGTTTCCAAGGAGCAGCTGGTGAGCTTGAACTGCGGACCTTGCAGGTCAAATGGCTTTGCAGTCTGGGGCATTAACCCACAGCGCCACACCAGGACTCCTGGGGCTAATGGACCAAAGATCTATAGGTCAGACAGCCGGATGCTGTCTCACATTTCAAGAATCAGAGGTCAGAAGATGATAAGGTAAATGCAGAATCAAAAGAGCAACCTTTGCCTGAACATCCATATGTATTAAATTCAGGACACACTTCCAAGAAAACTCCCTTTCAAGTGATTACATAGTTATCTTCCGAACTACTGACAATCATGGACTAGTAGTGTTCACACATAACCTTAACCATCACAGCGTGGTATGTTGTTATTAGGTGACCTCAAGTCGGCTTTGTGGGTTGAATTCTCTAACCTTTTACTAAGCAGCAAAGCACTGAGCTGTTGCCTCAGCAGGACTCCTTGCATAGTAAGTTGTCAAAGTTGATTCGGACTCAAAGGTGACGTTATAGGACTGAGTAGAACTGCCAAGCTGTAATCTTTATTGTTGTTGCTTTTGAGTCAGTTCAGACTCCTAGTAACCCTGTGTAGGGTTTTCAAGGTTGTACATCTTTACGGGAGCAGAAAGCCTCGTCATTCTCCTGCTGAGCATTCCAACATGTAACCCACGAAAAATCAAGTGCTCTTGCTGGAATACAAGTAAAGAATGGGAAACAATAGAGAAGTGACTAATAGAAGTCAATTTACAAAAACTTTTCTATACTGAAAAACTTGAGCAAGGGACTAATAAAATCAGATTAACAGTGTTTTTTTTTAAATTACTGATGGCGTTTTGGAGTATGGATTCTTGTATTAGCTAATGAGCTTTTAGGTCTCAACCATAGTATCAGTATTTATTTATATGTTGGTAAGAAATTAGATTATTGCCACAAAATAATTATTCTTAGCAATACAAAATTTGATACATGGGCTAAAATGTAATTTTTATTTTTATAGTGATAAATTAAATGAATTAAGACGACAAAAGGAGAAATTAGAAGAAAAAATTATGGATCAGTATAAATTTTATGAACCATCACCTCCAAGAAGGTATTATTAACCAAATTTTATGAATTTTTATTTTGAAAATAATATTATATGTTAAAACTTTAAATTTTGTAAAGGATCATATGTTGAATTTTAAACCGAAGTTTTGTTTTTTGTTTTGCTATACCTTTTTTTAATTACCTTATTAGGCGAGGCAACTGGATTACCCTAAAAATGAGAAAATTGATTAAGTCTAAGAAAGATCTTAATCGGGAACGTCAGAAATCTCTAACCTTAACACCTACCCGCTCAGACTCCAGTGAAGGATTTCTTCAGCTTCCCCACCAAGATAGTCAAGATAGTTCTTCAGTAGGTTCAAACTCTTTAGAAGATGGCCAGACCCTGGGGACCAAGAAAAGCAGCAGTGAGTGCTTAAACACTTTTAATTTTTAGTATTGTTATAAACTCCATTTAAAATTTCTTTTAAATACCTTAGACAGTGTTTTGGGAGAATAATGTTATTAATGGCGTTTTCTAAAATTCTATATGATTGTAAAATTCTTACTACAGTAGTACACAACCACGTCATTTTCAATATTGTGTATCTAGAGAAATATGCCATACAGAGAGATATGATCATTTGGCCAGGGAAGTAAAATATTACAATAGAAAGAACAATGAAATAAGAGCTAGAATACTCTGCTACGTGCTAGTTCGGAGAACATGTACATGTGTTTTACCTTTGCTCGCTGCCCTACAGGGTGGTTATGAGAAGCAAGTGAGAAATTTATGTGTAATGTTTTATTTTCCTAATAATTTATAACTGAATCAGAATAATAAGACATTTTATGATACAGATGTACTCATCTGTACCTTGGTGGCAAATTTGAGCAGTTACTACTGATGGGGAAAGAGAGAAAAATAAGTATGGTTTTGAAAAACGTTATTCAATGATTTGTAAATAACTGCAGACTAAAAGTCATTGAGGGATTACTTGATAAAAGATGAGGTAAAATAAAGAGAAAAGGAGATATAAATTTATGTATAAACTTGTGGTTTAACATTTTAAAATGTAGTAGTATTATATCACAACATGCCCTATACAATCATAGCCTTTTAATTTCATTACTGTTGTACTTAAGTAAACCAAAAGAGTAAATAAAGTAAAAGCTTAAAGAAGTGTATTTTAAAAAGAAAAATAATTTTTTACTGGGCCATTGAAGATGTCCAAGACATTGACTTTCAGTATTCTTATAAAATATATAAACAAAGAAATTTTGAACCTAGTCACACTATCACCAGTCACTAAACTTTTTTTTAAAACGTGAATAATATTTATATCAATATAAATATATTTGCATTTATTTATAATAAATTTTCATTTTGTAGGAGATTAGACATTAAAGAGTATGTTTCAGGATGCAACTATGCATGTGTATATATATATATATATGTGTGTGTGTATGTATGTATATATATATATATATATATAATGTATGTATATATACACATATATACATACATTATTTATAGAGTCCTGGTGTGGTGCTTTAGGATAAGCATTGAACTGCTAACCAAATGGTTGGCAGTTCAAATCTACCAGAGTCATTCCTTGGAATCCCTATACAGGGTCACTATGAGTCAGCACCAACTCGGCAGCATATAACAACAGCTACCAGTCTTTTGAAGTAAATACAAAGCAAAAGCAGCTGCTTCTTCCAGCAGGAATAGACTCTTCAATAGGACTAGACTTGAAGCACTCAAAAAATGGTACATAGTGGTTTGACCTCAGGGAAATTATCTCTGAATAGACAAGAGTATTTCATTTTATAGGAGTTTAGACATTAAAGGGTCTGTTTCAGGATGCAACTATGTGGTTGTGTGCTATGAAGTTGACCAACTCTCAATAACCCTATAGGACAGAAGACTTGCCCCATAAGGATTTCCTAGGCTATTATAAGTAGTACTATGTTGTTGTTGTTAAGTGTTGTTGAGTTGTTTCTAACCCATAGCGACCCTGTTTACACTTCCTGAGGAGCAGCTGGTGAGCTTAAACTGCTGACTTTGCGGTTCAAACCAACTTTACAGTCCAGCACATTAACCCACAGCATCACACCAGGACTCCAAGTAGTACTGTAGCATCCTAGAAGATAGAACCCATAGGTAAACAAGAAAAAATATACACCTACATTGCATATGTTGTTTAGTGCCGTGAAATCAGTTCCAAATCATGGTGACCCTGTGTACATTTTCCAAGGAGCGGCTGGTGGATTTGAACCACTGACCTTGCAGTTCAACCCAATCTTGTGGTCCAGTGCTTATCCTACAACACCACACTAATTTATGTATAGATATAAATTAGTGTCAATAAAGCAGTTTAATTCTGTGTCTCTATATAAGATTATTGCTGTCTAGGTCTTTTGCAGTCTAGTCTTTTCCACTAAATCTTCCTGAGGCTTGAGTAATTATTTTTGTAGAAAGACTTAAGTTTTGTGTGTGTGTGTGTGTTTTGTTTTGTTTTTTTAAGATGGTAGACAAGTTAATTTTATCTGTTGCCTTTAGATATAAAATATATATCTTATTAAGTGAGAAATTATGTACATATGTAATATGTTTTTTCCAAGAAGATTATTCAGTTAAGAGAACACACACTAAAAAGGTACAACAAAGTCTTTTTTGAAGTCATCTTCTTCCTTTTAAGTATAAATCTGTCACTTTGTCGTACTATCTGCTGAAATTTCAGAATAAAACTTAGAAAGAAGTAATACTCTTCTTTCCTGCCATTGATCAATTTTCTAAGTTTACAAATAAACGCAGAACCCAGTTATGTTAGTGTTCCTGTAATTTCACTATATTTTGGGAAAGGGGGTTTATATATCTCCAAAGTTTCATAAAAGGGATCACATTCTGCCAGTAGGAAATCTAAAACTCCTTTTATTCTGTCCATTTTGGAAGCGTGTCTGTCTGTCAGTAAAGCAGTTTTTGGACAAGAATTGAAATCAGGAAAAGAAAACCTAAAGAAGATAATATGTGCTGCAACCACTCAGTTTTGTGTTAGCTAAGTGTCCATTTCTACATTGCTTTCAGTTCATGTCTTTGTAATCATTGAAAACAGCTGTTTTTCAAGCTAGGAAAAAGATCAAAGTAAAAGCTTTAATGAATCATGACTGGGACTAGTAGCAATCAAATAAGTCTAAAAGCTACCTGTCCATTGCACTATCTTTAATGCATAATACTGTGTGTTTGTCAGAAGAGTTTTGGTTATTTATAAGATAATGTTAAACCATAAGATAAAACATAATTATTAAGGCTGTGTATATTTTTAAGTCTTTTATGCACATTTCTTTCCTAGCTCCTAAATTACATTTCAAAAAAATTTGTAACAATTTTTCATTTTTATTCCAATGATGCCTATACTTTAGTGGTAATCCTAACTTTGATTCATAGGATTCTTTTTTAATATAGTGCTCCCTTTGATTTGTTTATGCTTAAAAAAAAAAGCCCACTCACACAGCCCTTCAAAATACCTAAAAACGTTACATATACAAAGGTGTCTCAGTTTTGCATGCTTAGGGTGATTCCTTACCTTTTAGTCTTACTGAGCTCAGTGCTAACACTCATTACTGTCAAAATAATTCTTTTCCCTCCTTTCCTCAGCCAACCTTTTACAAAATGAATTGAGTATATTGCTTATTTTATGTTTAGGACTCTGCTAGAAAAAAAAAAATATGCTAAGTAATATACCATAATTTAGTTTAAACATAGAAGTTAATATCCTTTTTTAATTTAAAAACAAAATTAAAGCTTTAGAAAAAAATGAAGTTTTCAATGTGTTTTTCTAAAGTTTGTTTAGATTGTTTTAAACATCATTGTGTGCTCTGATTTTTGTATATATATATATTATTAAAATACTCTGGTAGAATGTAAACTTTTCCTAATTTTTTTTTTCTAAAATAAAGCCTTGTAATTTCAAAAGTTAAAGGAAATTGAGGACTGAGAAGCCTTGTACATTTTCGTCACGACCTATCAAGAATTTTAATTTTAAAATGATAGCTTTATAAATTAACTAGGAAAATTGTTCCCTCCATAAGCAATTCTGATCCATTCGTGTTTTTAAATGATTGTAGCCATTCCAAGCTTTCAAAATATATGTTCCTCATCATTGTCTTCAGTGCTTTTCCAAGTATTTTAAAATATCAAAGTACATATTCATATTTCATTATCATTCAGCAAGCATGAGAATAATAGCTTTTTAGTATAGCATACATAGCTGAAACTCAAACATTCATTTCTGTCCTTAATTTCAACATTTAACTCCCATCTGTTCTTCTCCCTTTTTTCTTTCATTTTTCTGTTTCTGTTTTCCCTCATGCTCTGACATTAAAGTGGTTGCACTGAAAAGACTGCCCTTTTTGAGGAACAGACCGAAGGATAAAGACAAAATGAAGGCCTGCTACCGTCGTTCCATGTGTAAGACTTTATGACAGTTCAGCTTCTTTCAAATGACTACATTGGCTTCCATTACTAATATTATACTAACCTTTCTCAGGACTGTACCAATTTTCTTGTTTTGTAAAGTGCAGTCTTCCTGTAATTACAAGGAGCTGGAGGATTTTTTTCCCCCTCAAAAAACTAGCACTGAATTTGCTTTATATGTATGTTACTGCTGCATATGTATATACAAGCATATGCATATGTTTAGTCATACATGTAATATACTTGTAAATTCCAAGTGCTTTCTAAAAGTTGGCAGGAAAAATCCATAATTTTATATACCATAGAGATTTTTTTCCCCAAAGAAGATAGAGCAAAACCGTTAGCCTTAGGAATATTTTATATGGACCAGATAAAATAAATAAATAAAATGGCCTATAACCCTTGATAATGGTTGAACCAGATAAAATAAATAAATAAAATGGCCTGTAACCCTTGAAAATGGTTGTCATTCTTTCTATAATAATGAGTTTTCTTCTTCTTTTTTTTTTTTTTTTAAGTGAAATGGGTAATAACATAATGACATTAAATGCCTGTCACTTTTGATATCATTTCTTTCAGGTTTTTATTGAATGGTATACTTATTTGATTCATAAAAGATAAATAATTTCAGTAACCTGCTCTGACCAAGGACTCGTTATCATTTTTAATAATGATGCTATATAAGAACTGCTTACCATCTTACCTTTGTTCATTCCATAGTTTTCATCACAATATCACATTATGAAGGCTTCAAATTTTGTTGCATATCATTGCGCAAAAGCATGGCAGTTGTAGATAGTAATGTGATTTTCCTGTTTTTTTTAAAGAGGGGTGGCATTAAGATAAAAATGTTTACTGAAATTTATCAGCCTTTGGCCTACTCATTTCATTCAGATGAATGCATGTCATAAATCAAATGACCTTGTGGTTGTAGTTTTTGATGTTCACTTACATTAATCCATAGACAAAAACTAGATCATTTATAATACAATATAGATATAAGAGCAAACACATTAACCATGCTGATTCATTTATTTCATTTGCATCCCAGCCATGAATGACCTGGTGCAGTCCATGGTCCTAGCAGGAGGACAGTGGACAGGTAGTTCTGAGAATTTGGAGGTTCCTGATGATATTTCAACTGGTAAAAGGAGAAAAGAATTGGGAGCTATGGCCTTCTCTACTACAGCCATCAACTTTTCAACAGTCAACTCTTCTACAGGCTTCAGATCCAAGCATTTGGTTAATAATAAAGGTATAGGCCGTCTGCTCTTTGCACTGTGGTGTAACTATTGGCAACAGGAATTTTAATTTGACTTTCCCCTGTGTACTTTTTGAAAGCAACAACCTGAATTAATTGCCAAAACATAATCTGGATTTTATTTGGAAGATTTCTCTATAATTATTTTTTAAAATTTAAGATATTATACAGATAACTAATAACTAAATCTCTCCTAGGCCTCCATTCATAATAAGCAGCTAATGAGCTAACAACAAAAGGAGAGGTAAACCAGGTAAAGAGTAAAAAAGGAAGGAGTAATAGAAGTTTAAAAAACTAAAACTGCTTCACCTTCAAACAAAGAACTTCATTTAATAACATAGGGTTTTGCTTTGCTTTGCAGGGTCACAGGGGGATTGTTCTGTTGCTTCTGGGGTTTTCCCTAACCAGCCAACTCTCATCAGAGCTACTGTATTTCTTATTCATAGTTCCAGTTTCTGGTTCAGTATATGAGATAATATTACACCAGGATATATGGCACATGATCAAAAAAGATTGCCCCTATTCTGTGTCACTAAAATTTTATGTAGATTTTGGTTACACAAATATTTTTATATCCATTTTACTATTTTATGTAGATACTACATCCTTTGAAGACATAAGTCCACAAGGTATTAGTGATGATTCTAGTACGGGATCAAGAGTTCATGGTAAGGTATTGAATACAGAGCGGGAATGCTAAGAACCTTGCATTGTATAAGTGAATGTGGCATTGCCAGCAAGCATGTTTGTTCTAACCTGCATCCCAAACCTACCTCTGCCATTTCTTCAACCTAATACTTTCTTTTGCCTTTTTTAAGGATATTGCTTCATCTATATGTTTTCTATTTTAGTCAAGGTCATTTATAAAGTATGCCTGCACAATATTCAAAGGTAATTTTGTTGACATTTTTTCATAAAGCTGAAGTTATGAGAGTTACATTTTACCATTGACTTAAAAATTTTGTCGGTAAAAGATGAATTTTAAAAACCAATATTTTCTATAGTACTGAATATTTCAGATTTTTACATTTCTATCTGACCAATCATACCTTACCAAAGCAAATTACTAACAATAACTAAATAACATGTTAAAGGAATTTCATATATCAGTGAGACTAAGAATTAGCCCAGGGCAGTGTTAACTGTACATTGTCTTCATACGGCTAGGAATACAGGACAATAACTGTGCAGATGTTCCTCCTGTCTGTGGCATCTCTGCAATGTGCAGGGGTTCCTTGTCTAATTTGTTATAAGTGACCTCATCACTAGCTTCCCCCTCCCCCCTCCCCCCGCATATCATTCTCTTCATCCAAAACCATCAGATATCTGTCTTTCCAGAAGTCATTTTTCAGTTTAAATATGCACTTTTTCTTCGAATCTCAACTACTTGTCTCAGAAGTGTCCTGTTCTGAAGTATCATACTGAACTACCTGAAAATGCCTTTGCTCTTTAATCTGTAAGATTTAACTCTCTTTAGGCATGCTCAGCCTGTGAAAGTTTGCATGAATGCTTCCTCAAAGCATTCTGTGATCAGAATGTAAAGGTCTGTATCATCAGCTGTAAGTTTGATCCCACTGTCTCCTGATTTTTTTCATTTAGCTTCCAGACCAGCCAGCCTTGATAGTGGCAGAACATCCACTAGCAATAGCAATAATAATGCTTCACTCCATGAAGTCAAAGGTATGCTGTAGGGAACTTTATTCATGTTCTCCATCCATTTCAGCATCTAAAGGTGGGAGATGGGAGTAAGCTTGAAATCCAAATCATCTATGTTTGAAACATTGTTCCTTGGAACATTTTATGTGTTTTTCACACATTGTAATACAAGTGTATTTCAGTGTCTACAAATGTGAAAACAGGAGCAGTTATTTTGATTTCACTTTTTCATTTTAACACATATTTTTACTGTAATCTTTGTACTTTAAAAATATTTGTAAATCCTTATATGTATATATGTTTTTAATGTTTTATTGTGAATTATGTGATAGTTTACGTGGGAGAACATACTGAATCATGCTTCTGATATTAGCCATTGGTTGAGCTTATAAACTTTTTGTTTTAATGTTTCATTGTGAATTATGTGATAGTTTACATGGGAGAACATTAGTTTTACCTTCATCCTACCATATATCATTTCATTGCTATGGTTACAATCCCCTCCATGCATCAACAACCAACCAAAGGGTATACCCTGCAAGCCTGCTCTCCCTCCCCCCGCCCCCAGTCCTCAGCACACAGCCCCTCTCCCTCTCTGGGTCTAGAGTCCCCAGCCGCTCCATCTCTCCACGTCATCATCTCTGCCTCCATCTCTGGTGTCACTGCTTGTCTGAGTAGGGTCCCACTCTCCGCTCTTCTCCCTTGATGGTCCCAGGGACCTCCACTCCTGAACTGCATAGTCAATCACTTCCCTCCTTTTGCTACAAAACATCTACCTTTACATTTCCAACCCTCACAGTCAGTCCTGATAACAATTATACGCTATTGTACCAAATGAGGCCTAACCTCATCTCCTTTCATCAGCCCCACCCAGACAGATTGGATACTACTCAGTAGAGACTCTACCTTCCTCCACGCCCTCTGGATCTAGGCTCCCTCTTTTTTTTAAAGCTTGTAAGCCAGTCACTTCTTGCCTTTGTAGCCCCTCTGTTTTGGGTAGCCAATGTCCAAGTTGCCCATCCTGTCTACTCTGTGTATAGAGGGTGTGGGGATAATCCTCGCTGTAAAGATTTGTTCCCTCTTTTGAGCTACTGCATCCATAGGTGTAAGTCAAGTTCATCAAATTGTATCAGAGCTCTCTTTTTTCCCTCTTCTTTCTTCTTCTAGTTGAGCTCTGATCATCCAGCCATTGAAGCCAGGTCAAATGGATATTATCTGCAAGTGTGGGTGTTTTTGTGCATATGCCCTCGCTTCTTATCAGCTGGACGCTTCACTCTCCACTCTAGTCCTCTGTGGCTATGTCACTGACTCTGGGCCCAAGAGTCCCCAGGTCTTGCCCACTGCTGGCCAACCAGGTCTCCACACAGGTTCACAGGAGTCTATGGAACATTGTAGGGTTTAGCTCGCAGCTTCATTGCTGTTTTTCCCTCACTTCACCTTACCAGTGACCAACGTGGTCATCAATCAGAGTGTACGTCTGCTCGTGTAGTGTATTCACATTGAGTCCTGGGTGAGCAACTTGCTTGTTCTTGTAGTAATCAGTTGGACTGCCATTATTGTTTTGTATTTTTCCTATCAGTCTTTCTTTCAAGAAGTATCTTCTGTTCTTCTGGCCACTCCAGGCTGGTCTACTTGTCTACATTTTGTTTTTAACATGAATGTGGTGTACATTTTAATGCACACTACAGAAATATTTTAGAAATTCTTTTAGCGTAATTTATCCATTAAAATAAGGGAAGACTTTTAAAAGATAAATTGAGGAGGCAGTTAAGTGAGTATGTATGTGTGTGTTTGTGTGTGTTGAACAAGAGCTATATAGATGCATATAGCTCATATAAAGGTTTGTTTCAAGGTAATACACATTTCAATGTGAGGTATTTATGTAAATGGCTGAAAACCTTGACTGATACAGTCTAGTCAGATTCTGGAATTTTTTAATAGATTATAAAAGTCAGTTATTTTATATAGTCTAGAGTTGTAAAATTACAATGAATGCATTTGTTTTATTTTTTTTTTTATTATAAAATGATCTCAGTTGTAATTTTATCGTTAATGCTCTGACTTGGTTGCAATGATCTGAGAAAAAAATGAATTTTTTTTTATAATCATATTTTTTTACAATCAGTAGGAAAATGCAGGCTGAAAATATGACAGACTTTTTATGTGATTTGAAAAATTTTTTAAATCTTATTTCTGTAAAGTGTTACTTGAGCCACATTCTTTCACAATCTTACTGTCTGAGATCAGGAAACCCTGGATAGTTGCATTTTCTATCTGGATGCGCTGGACAATTTGCTACTGATCAAAGCAGATCAGCACTCTTAAGGAATAGCATTGTCTTTCAGGAGCTTTATTTTAGAGGTAGCTAACTTGGAGTCCTGGTATGGCGCTGTGGGCTAATGCGCCAGACTGCAAACTGTTGGAACTGCAAGGTCGGCTGTTCAAGCTCACCAGCTGCTCCCTGGAAACCCTATACAGGGTCGCTATGGGTCAGAATCGACTCGACAGCACTTAACAACAACAACTTGCATTGTATGGAGTCCTGGTGTGGCGCTGTGCGTTAACGCGCCAGACTGCAAAGCTGTTTGAACTGCAAGGTCGGCGGTTCAAGCTCACCATTCACTCCCTAGGAACCCTATACAGGGTCACTATGTGTCAGAACTGACTCAATGACACGTAACAACAACAACATACATTGTATACAGTTGCTCAAGCTCAATTGAGTCTTTTAAGACTGTGTAGTCACTGTACTAAGGATGGAAAGTAGGAACAATTGATGATTCAGGCATAAAACAAAAGATTGAAATATGAGAGGACTTTTGGAAATTTGTGGGAAAATGGAATGAAAAGATAATGAAATTTTTCCACTAACTTTTTGAAGCCTTCTTGACCATATATTTGATTTTATATTCTTAATGGAATTTTTTAAGTAACTGCATCACGTCTCCATTTGATTTCTTTATAGACCTGCTAATTAAAAATAATTTTAAGTGTATTAATTTAGCAATAAACCTTTAAGTAAGGATTGAAAAACTCTTGCTAAGTGCTGTCAAGTCAGTTTGGAGTCATAGTGACCCTATGTAGGGTTTCCAAGGAGCAGCTGGTGAGTTCTTAGAGAAGCAAAAAATCAGAATTGAATTGTTAGCGTTTGAAATAGCTTTTGTTTTTTAACACTCTGAAATAATTTTACATTCTTGTAAACATGTTCATAGTCTAAGTTGTGAGGTGTTTATTTTATTATTATTTATTAAACCTGAATTTTAAATAATACATTTTTTACTCATTTATTTATTCACTCATTTACTCATCAGATGTACTGAGTTACCTATTTTATATGAGACCCTGGGTATGGTGATGAAAGATAGTCTTTGGCCCTTTGGGCCAATGGCCAAAATAAAGTAGACATTATTGCTGTTCTTAAGTGCCATCGAGTTGTTTCCAACTCATAGCAACTCTGTCTAGGGTTTCTGAAGAGCAGCTGATGGGTTTGAACCACTGACCTTGTGGTTCTAACAGACCTCCTGGTTCAGTGATCTGTGAAAAATTAACATGATATACTAAGCATTTCTAAAGATAGATTGAAAGTGAATTTGGGTATTCTTATGATAAGAACCCAGTGAACAAATGGCATATACTTGAGTAGTATTAATCTCATTTTTATTTTTGAACACTTAATACACCATTTGCTCCAAAAAGCAGGTGCAGCTAATAGCCAAAGCAGACCACAAAGCCACAGCAGTGGAGAATTTAGCCTGCTTCATGATCATGAGGCCTGGTCAAGCAGTGGCAGCAGTCCAATCCAATACTTGAAAAGGCAGACCCGATCAAGTCCAGTACTCCAGCACAAAACGCCTGAAACATTAGATAGCCGAGCGCATCCCAAGATGAAAACTGGTTCTCCTGGCAGTGAAGTTGTTACTCTCCAGCAGTTTTTGGAAGAAAGCAACAAGCTTACCTCGATACAGGTTAGTTTTATGTGTGATGATGCTAACTTAAAGAATAGCGTATGTTACATTTCTATGGCTGACCTGAATTGTCTTTTTTGTTGTGGCGTGTTTAGAGATGATAATAATTTTGTGTTATAACCTAATTTAACAAGAAAGTAGAAACATGGCTGTATTTACTAATTTGCTTTTTTTTTTTTTCTCAAAAAAAATACAACAGATAAAGTCCTCAAGTCAAGATAATCTTTTAGATGAAGTAATGAAAAGTTTATCTGTGTCTTCTGACTTTTTGGGAAAAGACAAACCAGTTAGCTGTGGTCTGGCCAGATCAATAAGTGGAAGAACCCCAGGGGACTTCTATGATAGACGGACAATTAAGCCGGAACAATTTGTGAGACCTTGTTCTCGAAAGACTGAAGATACTCACTTCATTAGTCCTCCAGGAAAATCTACACCTGGCACTCAAGGAAAGATAAAATTAGTAAAAGAAACTTCTCTGTCTCGACAATCAAAAGATAGTAATCCTTATGCTACTTTACCTCGTGCAAGCAGTGTGATTTCTACTGCCGAAGGAACTACCCGAAGGACAAGCATCCATGATTTTTTGGCCAAGGACAGTAGGCTACCTGTGTCAGTTGATTCCCCACCAGCTACTGCTGATAGCAGCATCACTGCAGCATCCAGTGAGTACTGTTTACACCAATGGTCCCCTCAGATACTTCACCACCCAACACCTGCTATAGGTTCCCCTGTGCAAAATGCTACAGATAGGCCAACATTCGACTTCCAGTCTCCCTATGCCCAGGCTAGCAACCCAGAAACTGAAAGGTCACATTTTCTACACCAAAATGTTGCCTCTATTAACATGGCTAGTGATCCATTGGAAATATCAGTTAATGATAGCATGGAGTCACGTACTGTGACTCATTCATTTCAGCCATTCTTATCCCTGAATACAGAATTAGTTAGTAATATCAGTGGAGTGCCCCCTAGACCAGTCCTTAAAGGAACTGATCAGGCTTCTACTTCTGTGGATAAAGCTGCACAGAAAGATAATGAAGAGTTCTCTGATCATCAGAACCCTAGTAGCAGTAACCCACAGTCTTCTCTAGATAGCAACGATCTTATCACTCCTGCATGCCTCAATCCTGGTGACACAGAAGCTGCATTGTTGGTGTCTGAGGATAATCAAACTGTTTGGTATGAATATGGTTGTGTATGATAAAAACTGCCCAATATAGTACTGTTGTCGTTTGATATGCACTGTGCTTCTCTAATTTTATTTGAAGAGCTGCTTTTGAAAAGTGTCATTTGTCTCTGTTTATATTTTTATGTTTAAATTGTGACATAGTATCCAGCTGTACATGATGGCATGTCTATAACTGTGAATTTGTAATCACACCAAAACTTGCATGAAATATTAATTGCATTGAACATTTTCTGCATGCCTTTAAGAGCCTTAACAATACATGCTCCTCTTTTATATTTTTGTTGCCTGATAAAAGATTGTTAACTTGGATATCCACAAGCATGTTCAAACAGTTGCATGCATTTCCAGGTCATGTTTGCTCTGTTGTTTTCAAAAGAGAATGTTCATCTCTTACCCTACCTTCTTTTCTCCCATCTTTCTCCCTTTCCGTTTCTCTTTTCCCCTCAGTCCTTGTCTTTTTTCCTCCCTGAACATGTACTTCATCTTGCACATGAGTAGTATTAGTAAGGAAAATATGTAAAAACAAACAAACAAACAAAGCCTGTCATTATTGTTTTTTGCATATAATTGTGCCATCTGTCCTGTCATTTTATTTTCAGAGAAATAGTTAATAATTCATTTAATGCTTTATGTAGCAAATGACTCTTACCCATATTTATAAAACATTGTTCAGTTTAAAACATTGTTAATATCATAAACATTAGTGTTATTCTTACAAAACCCCATCAAATTTAAATGTAATGTATACAATAAGTAGGAGCATTTGTATGAATTCTGTTCCTCCTCTACACTTTTCTTCATCTGATCAACTTAAGAAAGAGCTCAAGTACTATCACTTCTTCAAGATGACTTTTTTAGTTGGAATCACTTAACACAGTAGTTCTTCTAGTTCTTTTTTTATATATAGAGTCAAAAAGAAATAAACCAAATCATATTCAATGTGTTGGAAATTTGTATTTTTACTTCTATTCTAAAAATAATAGCATTTTTACAAAATGGGGAATAAGTCTTTAAACTTTGAAACTTTAGTTCAAAAAGAATATACGATTAATTTTGTGAGATTTGTTGATTCATTATTAAATTATCTATGGATGTCCTTATAAACAGAATTTTTACAAATGAGAACATTGTAAAATTACAACCTTTTATTTAGTAGAGCAGATTTTAGAACCAAGTATAAAATACAGATGCTTTAGGTAAAATATAAGCATTAAGATACAGAAAATATTTGCTAGCTGACTCCAGTGTCATAAACTTTAAAATTATCTGTAATCATAGCATTTTAAAAATAGAATCAGCTAAACTTGAATCTACAATATGAAAAAACCTGTAGCCCTGATTTACTTACTTTTGGGAGGGGATCGCTATGAGTTGGAACTGACTTTAAGGTACTTAACAACAACAACAACGTATCCTAATTGTTTCTAGAATGTTTTTGCCATTTTAAATTAACCTAAATATTACTGAAAATAACTCAGCCTAATAACATCTGGAGGGAATGCTTTGAAATGTAACTTTCTAAATAGGGAGATTATATTTTTATTTATTGTTGTTACTAATTAGACCAAAAGCAACAAAATTTATAGATAATCTTTGCTAAATAAAATTTGCATTACCTGTATATTAAGCCATCCCCCTGTACTTCTGCCAGTTCAATTTGACTTGGCACCAAACAGTAATTTAATATCTTCTGATCAGACTTATTCTTTCATTGTTAAGTTGTTGTTAAGTGTTGTCGAGTCGGTTCCGACCCATAGCGACCCTGTACAGGGTTTCCGAGGGTGTAAATCCTTACGGGAGTAGAAAGCCTCATCTTTCTCCCGCGGAGCGGCTGGTAGTTTCGAACCGCTGACCTTAAGGTTTGCAGCCCGATTCATAACCACATAGCCAGTTGTTATTTAAAATGTTTCAGGGACAGGCAATCATATGAAATTGTACATGTTTTCCAGTTCTGATCCATTAGCTTTATTGCTAATTTTTATACCATCTTAACAGTTAAATGCATTTGTTGCTGATACACTCCTTAGCTGAAAAATTTTAAATATCCATTTCTATATTCATAATCTAGTAATAACACTAATAGTAAACATAGGTGAGAGTAGAAAGGAGTCCTATGAAATACAAATGTAACAATTAGTGTTGTGCCTTTTCTGTATTTTGGCAAAGATTATTTCACAGCTACTTCAACTTTTTTTGCATGTGACAAATCTGGCCATAGTAATTTCAAACATTAAATATTCATTCAACATACATTGAAAAATCATGTAATGTTATGTCAAAAAGTGTGATTCTTTTACAAAGTTAAGTGTACCCAAGGGAAATGAGTGTTGCTTACTCAAATAGCTAAGTTTATATATACAGTATGTTTTCAAAAAGATCATATACACTGTGGATGTAGGATAAATATAGACCATAGCCATAACAACATCTTGAAGATTATTGTTTGAGAATATAAACTAGAGTTCTTCCAGAAACAGTTACCTGCTTTGGAGTCATAAAATCCTCTCCAATTGTGCTAGTTTCTCACTGTGAAATAGTACTTTGAATCAAATTCAAACAGGGAGAACCTTAGTGTTTCCCATGCTTAAATAAATAAATACTTTTTGTAAATGAAATGTTACAGAACTATCCAAATTTTATTATTTTTTAAATATAAAACAGTGGAACAACTCTGATTCGTTTGAGCCTCAGAGACATCTCTTAATATGTTAGGGTTTCAAAATGATTATTTGAGGAAAAAAAAGGTAGATCTAGTTACCCTAGTTTTAAATATGATGAAAATAAACACCTTTCGTATTCCTGGCCTACATTTCAAAATTTTTTACCCATATTGTTTGTGAGACATTATAACCTGATATTGGTAGGTATTGGGTCTCCTTCAGCCCAATTTTAGCTTTAGTCCTTGTAAGTACCTAATTTGCCTATAAAATATTCTTCTAGTCTTGGTTTTATTTCATTGTGAACATCCCTGCTGCTGCATGCAAGAATTTTTTTATTTCAAAACTCTTATGTGATCATTTAGTAAATGAACATAGTAAAGTAAATCTATCTTACATGTTGTTAAGTGCTGTTGGATTGGTTCCAACTCGCAGTGACCCTGTATAGGGTTTCCAAGGAGTGGCTGGTAGATTTGAACCACAGACTTTGTGACTAGAAGTCCTGTGCTTATCCTCCAGTGCCTCACCAGGACATTAAGAAGGGGGAAATATAATTGAAATAGGGTTTTTATTTTTAAAATAATTTTATCTTTTGTAAGAATACTTAGAGCTTTTAAAATAGTCTTTAAGTAATGCAGTAACTAACTATTTCCCAGGTTGTTACAGATTCCTTTTCCTTGCCCTATCCAATGAGAGCTCTTTAGTTTCTTATCTTCAGGAATAGTGTAATGTATTAACTTTTGATTAAATAACATGAAATGCTTTTCTCCTGCAGATGTGGACACAGTACAAGAAAGCAGAATTTCAAAAAGCAGGTCTAGGGAGCAACAAAGCTCCTAATTCTATTACCCACTACCTGACATGTGGGCCAAGTGGTGAGTTTCCGGCTTCAAATGTCAATGAGATTAGTCTCATTTATACAAACTAACCGTATTAAGAGTGAGAACCAGTGCACATTGCATTAACAGATGTAAATATGTTGCTTGCTTAATTCATTGACTTTCTGCCCTACTTACTAGTGAAGTAAGATTAGTTGGTTGCCATAAGTTTTTTGCCAGTTCATGCAGGGAACAGAACTTGAAAAATAATTTTTCTTTCTCAATTTAAATTTCATTTTACTAGAATAATGTTTTGCTGTTTTTGTGGTTGTTAAGTGTCATTGGGTCAGTTCTGACTCATAGAGACCATGTATAGGGTTACCGAGTAACGACTGGTGAGCTTGAACCACCAACCTGGTGGTTCAAACCAACCTTGCAGTCCAGTGCCGTTAACCCTCAGCGCCATACCAGTACTCCCGAATATTTTAGGAATTGTTTTTTCAGTTCAAAGTCAGTTTTGTGGTAAGAATACAAGTTTGTCACAATTTTCTTGATAGTGAGAATAAACGAAATGAAGAGCCACTCAAAGAAAAAATTGTCTCTTTCTGTCACTTTCTCATTCCTATAGAAATATCTGGTGCATGCTGTTCTTTATCATGGCTGCTCTATATTTTATATCTCTTTTGTCTTCAAGCTTTTCTTATATTTTCTTTCTTCTTTCTGCCTTCCAACTAAATACAGAGAGAAAAGTGTCCTTCTCAGTATGAAGCCTTTATTTCTGAAGTAACAAGACAGTCAACTATAGGAATCATTTTTTAAAATCTTTAAAAGGAGACTTTTAACAATCCTTCGTGAATAGAGCAGGCAAGAATACAAACCTTCATTCCTTCCTTGAATCAAGGAGTACTACTGGAATCAACTGCCAACATTTTTAAGTTTTAGGACATACTAGACCTTGTATTAAGATCTACTGAATAAAGGTTGTTCTCTCGCTAAGGACGAGTGTTTTCTGGTTTCAAGAAATACTCCAACAACAGTCTACTTCTTTCTTTCATTATTTGTTTATGAATTTATCCATGTTTGCTTAATGCTTCTGCTAAGTATTTGCCCAAACCTAGCCATTTATGTTTAGTTGTGTAAACCTAAATTAAATACTGTAGTATTTTGTGGAATGTACTATATATGAAGATAACAGAGAAAATTGTTTTGGCATGTCAGAGCCTTATTTGGTTAGCAGACTGCATGTGTTGGTACGCTTTAAGAAGGCGATTATTTGATGCACTGCAAAAGAAGTTTAGTTCATTAGATAAATCTGAAAAAACCCATAAGAGTTACGAAAATTTAGTCATTAATCTGCTTTCCATGTTCCTCATTAAGCAACACTTAAGCCATTCACACATGGATCCAAGGAAATTAAAGAGTGTTTTTCTGAAACTTTTTTAATAAGGTGATTTTGCAGCAAATGGCATTCCCAAGAAAAAGCTGTTATGTTTTAACCCACTCATTTCCCTTCTTTGGTATTGGATTATGTTTGTGTGTTCGATTTTTTTTGAGAGCTGACTGTTGCTTAAGAAGTTTTCTTATAGCAAAAAACTATGTAAATAATTTATTACGCTCTGCATTTTACCAGGAAGTCATTTATTATTAAGATTGTCATTTATTAATAAAATTTTTGGTTTGTCCTTTATAATACATTAAAGTTGGTAACTATTGGTACTTTTGAAATATTTGTATGTATTTGTTACCTTAAACATTTAGAAGAAGCACAAAAAGTGGATTTAGTTAACCCAGAGGAACATTAATTTTTTAGTAGTTCCAATTTTATATCAGTTTTATTTTCTTATGAAATCAAAAAAATGCATTGGCACTTCTTAATGCAAATTCATTATCCAACATAAGTATCAGAATAATCTTAAAGAACTGAAATGATGAAGATCCTGACTTTTTTATTTTCACAGTGTACTTCTTAGGCTCTCATTACCAGCTCTAAAGCTTTTTGGAATAACTCTGTGCTCCATGATGTGATTTATGAACTGTACGTTTCATTATTTATCCAGTAGCCATGAGAAAACTGTGTGTGTGTGTGTCTTCCCTCCCCATGCCCACCCCCCATAGGCCAGTAGCACTGTTGTGTTCTTAGTCTACTTTTGGGAAAATCTTTAATTTAAAAAGAGAAACAGCAAGTTTTAATTGACCAGAAATTAAAATGAGAATTAGAGTACTTGGATTTACTTAATGCTACAGTTAACTTAGGTTTTGTTACCAAATAATGCTGTAAAGTTAAATCACTTTGAAACTCTTGGATGAAAGGTGCTATGTAAATGTAAATACAAATAATTTTTACTAAAATACAAATATTGCACAAAAGACATATTAAAAACCTATTCTCTAGACCTTGACACATCTCTCTTCATCTTGACTCCCTGGATTCAAGTATCAAATTGGTAATGACCATCATGCCAATCTAGAGAACTTGCATGTAAAAAAGTGTAAATTCATTTTTTGGTAGATAAATTGAAATTAAATGTAGAAGTTATACTTTACCTAAGTACAATAAGTAGGTAACTTAGATTTATATTAACTAGCATCTAATTTGCACAACTAGGATACATCCCAGGACAATTACTGAAAGCTGGAATTTAATGAGTAAAAGGTAGTCCAATGAAGGTGAAGGGAATCCCAAGTTGACCTCTCCAGAACACTAATATCCTCAAATAGGGAACCTACTGACTGAAGACACACCTTTTAGCCTCCAGTAGAAAGTGCTTAAGGACAAACTGCAAAATAACTGAATCTAAATAGGATGACACCAAGAAAAGACAGAGACAGACAACCAAGGGAAGACACTGAGGCTGCAAAAATAAGAATATCCTCAATTATATTCATCACCTTTTTCATACTATTTCAAGAAAGGACTAAGTAACCAGAAGAATATTATATTTTCTCCAAAAGATACCTTCAGAAGCAACTTTATAGAAAGCCCACTCTTTTAGATAAACTTCCTTGGCCAAGTAAAACGGTAAAACCAACTGGAAACGGACCAGGGTCACATGCTTCTAATTATTTTTTAATTAGTGGTTACCAAAGAATTAATGAAACAGGTTTATGTGTAGCACCTTTCATGCCAAGGCATGGTAAAAGCCTATTTAAATATCACTGTGCATATTACTGAATTGTAGTCACCTCAACAATGAAGTTATTACAGTCCATACTGTCTAAAAACAGTTTATGTCAGCAAGTAAACAAAGTTATTGTACCAAACCTGGAATTCCATTGGAGAGTACTAATGTATGCTGAATAACTTGTAGTTTAAGTTACGTAGGAGAAAAGTGGTGGGTTTGTTTGTACTTTTCTTTGCAGCTTAAGTCCCAAGATAATTTTTTTCTAAGTCTTAAATGAATAATACAAAAAGAGCCCATTTATAATAAGAAAAACAAACGATGTACTTGTTGAGCTATTTGGACAATGAAAATGCCTTAAAAGGAATGGTTATGGATAAAGTTGCACTTAAAACACCCTTTAACAAAATCTTTCAATTGTCTTTTGCTTTTCTATGAAGAATTCTTTTTCAAAGTTTGTCATTGTACTTGTACCTGTTATTAAATACCAAATCAAATAATATAAAAACTGTAACATTTCTTTTAAAACTAATGCTAATGCGATTTGGAGTTGAATGGTAAAATGTTTACTACCTGTGATGATACCTAATAGCCACAAGAATCTCACTCAGAACAAAAGTGGTACCATTATACTTGCTTGTCTTTTTAAGAACTTTTTCATTTCAGTTTGTTTCTCCTAAGAAAATTAATTTGGTTTAATATTCAGTTATCAAACTTATAGAAAAAGAAATAAACAGTAATTTTTTTTATAACAAGTGGTTAGTAATCATTTAAAATTACAGTGCAACTTTAGTTGTTATTCTTGTGTTCCTTCCCTGTGACCCAAAAACCTATTTCCATACACAACCCATAAATTTCTTTTTTTTTTAAATATAATCCTAATCATTTTAGGATGAGTCTTGGAAGTTTGAGGAGAAAAAGAAGAGGCTCTTCAATCTTGTCAGATAAGGTTATATAAAATTTAATAGGTTGTATAAATTAATCTTTCATTTTCACTTTGTGAGGCAGAATGACCTTAGGGATATAGCCGATAGCTACTGCCCTGTGCTCTAGGGCAAGTCAATCTTTTGGTCCTGTTTTCTGGGGAGAGCAATTAAGCCAGGTAATAGCTGAGGCCCTCAATTTCCATCATTCTATTAATTAGTGCCTTCATTTTAAACACTTCAACCACCTAAAAATGCCCTTTATTCCCCTAAAGACAAAAGAGTGGATAAAAATGATATGGAGTCTTTAAATCAAGTCATCATTGTGGAAAATATTTGCTAATTCTTAGGTTGGCAGTGCAAAAGCACCAGTCACTCCATAGAACCCTATGCAGGATCACTGTGAATCAGAACCAACTTGGCAGCACTCAACATCATAAATCCAATCTTTTTTTAAAAAATTGTAATTGGTTTCTGATAGTACCATGAAATAACCTTTTACTTTTACTTGTGTTCCTTTAGTAACACAAACTGATACGGCTTAAGTACATATCTCCACCCGAAGGGTTTTTTTTTATAATCAGACTTAAGAAAATACCCTTCATTTTATACTGTTGCCATACTTGAAGGGGGGGGGAAGGGGAAGGAAGTAGGGGGTAAATAAAAACTGAACATAGTTGCAAATGAACTTGCATGTTTACGTTTCCTATCCTGAACTAAGACAAAAATGACTTTAATCATATAGTGTATACTCTGTGGCTGTGTTTCAGATATTTTGTTGTTGTGTTGTGAAGTGCCGTCGAGTCGGTTCCGACCCATAGCGACCCTGTACAGGGTTTCCAAGGGTGTAAATCTTTACGGGAGTAGAAAGCCTCATCTTTCTCCCGCGGAGCGGCTGGTAGTTTCGAACTGCTGACCTTAAGGTTCGCAGCCCTATTCGTAACCACTACGCTTCAGATATTTTAGTAGCATAAAAATTAAGTTACGTTTTTGTTTTTTCCAAATTCAAATTTTCAAAAAATCCATCTGTTAAGTGCTGCCAAGTCGGTTCTGACTCAGGTTTGAGGAGTGGCTGGTGGGTTTGATAGCAGTCTAGTGCTTACCCTACAGTACCACACTGGGACTACTTAAATATTTGCTGCTGCTGTCTGCAATCAAGTCGGTTCTGACTCATAGCAACCCTATATAGGGTTTCTGAGACTGAATCTTTTGTGGGAGCAGAAAGCCTCATCTTTCTCCCAAATAGGAGCTGGTGGATTCAAACTGCTGACCTTATGGTCAGCAGCCCACTGCGTAACCCACTATGCTACCAGGTAAATCAGCTTAATTTTCACTGAGAAAAGTCACTGATTTTAAAAACAAAACACCAAGTAACAGAAAGCCTTTGTCTTTTTTTTTTTTTTAATTGGATTACTGAGGAGGTTTTAATCCAGTCCTCATATTGTGAGGTGCCGTCCAGTCAGTTCCAACTCAGAGCGACCCTGTATAGGGTTTCCAAGGAGCGACCTTGTTGCCCACTGCCTTATCCCACAGTGCTACACAGGACTCTTAAAATGTTTCTTTATAAATTTTATCCAAAGTAAAAATCCTTAGTCCCCATTCCCCAAAATAACAACTATTAACATTTTAATGTATTCCCTGTGGGACTGCTGGTGTGGCATTGTAGGATCAGCACTGGACTGTGAACCACAAGGTCGGCAGTTCAAACCTACCAGCTGCTGCTCACTTTGAGTTAGGAGTAGACTCTATGGCAGTTGTATATATGCCCTTTTGGGTTTTCAGTAGGTGCACTATCATGTCTCTAATTTTATACATACCATTTTGTAACATTTTTCAAGTACACAAAGCATCCTAAAAGAGATGCAAGATTAAAAAAAAAAAAAGATGATGCAAGGCAATTAATCTTAGACATCGTTTTAATTGTTAAATTCCTCTGAGAGTCACTGTCTTCTGAACTGAATAAAACTGCCAAAATATATCTTTTTAAAAATAGTTCCTTGAAGATGATTTATTCTTTCTAAAATCCTTTAGGTAGTCACCAAACCAAAGGTACTAAATACTATCATCACTGCTAATGATTTATGTAAATTATATAAATGATAAAAAAAAAAAAACCCACTTCAGAAGTCAATTTATTGTAAAAGTTAGCTCAGTTCTTATCAAAATTTAGAATTAAGGGATCATGTCCTGTCTTCTTCACAAATGTGAGAAAGTCTTGAGGGCTTAATCCCATGGTTGCAGCATTGGTCATTGGATGGAAATACACCTTTTCATGTCCACCTTCCAGAAAAGCAGAATCCAGAACAAATTTCACATCTCCGTTATCACAGAAGAGTGCTAGCGGTGTGGCACACCCTTGGCCAACTTTTAATTTTTCCAGCATGGCTGATTCGTCAGCAAACCTCAGATTTCCACTCCCAACACCCAACTGTTTGGCAAGATCGTTTAAATTAACTTGTCTATCATGAAGAACTGTCACCAGCCAATAGCCTTTTTTCTTTTTGTCTTTAAGAAATAAGTTTTTACTATGTGCTCCTTTCAGATGTTGAATATGAGGCATCATTTCTTCAACTGTAAACACCTGCAAAAGATCACGTAATGAGTTTATTTTTAAAAATAAAGTAACATGCACATGTACTGCATATATAAGCACGTATTCTATTTGCAGGATGAAAACAGCAAGGTTAGGGCATACTCAAGGTCATGAATTTCACTGGGGCAGACACACACATCCCCAGGTCATTACCAAACAATTATAAGCCCTTGTCATTTTAACTCCTCAATTCAGGAGCCCAAGCAACTCCTCTTAGGCCACTTCTTGAATTCCAATGTACTGGGCAAGCTAACTCATTTCAAAAAGTTGTTTTGCATTTAAGCTCTTTGGGACAAAGTTTACAGCAGCCTAAGTTTCCTAATCTTTAGCATTCCATTAAATTCTGACCATGTGACAATCTTCACATTACAAATATTACCACAGTGAAGATGAGTGGGCAGAGAATGAGAACCTGAATTGACAAAAAGGAACATCAGAAAAGCTGACAATATGCACTGTGGAAGGTTATGTAACTAATCTGGTATAGAAGTTGTCAGAAAAACTAGTAGATAAAAGGTGAAGAAGGCTAGCTTTTAGTGGATTTTTCTCTACTCTAGTTTTGTAACAAACAAGAAATTGTTATGATTCAGGGTGACAGACAAGCTAGAGACTTTATATCTGAATCCTATGGCAATGCTAACTTCACCTCCTCAAAAATATTAACCTTGATGGGAAAGGGAAAAAAAGTCCTAATTTCCTGTCTTGATTTTAGCAGGTTCAAGTGTATTCAATCATTTCCATTTGAACTTCAGAATACTTCTATAAACAGAAAAGCAACAAGCAAAATACCGGACTGACTGCTTTTGGAAAGTCCAAATTCAGGTGTTGGTCATGTGTGTAAGTAAGTAGAAGAAAATCTCAATCTTGTAAAACGACTCATTTCAAGCTCTAGTCCAAATTAAAACCATTTAAAAACAGTTAAAACATTTTCCACAGGTATTAAAATACAAGTGATTTTAGTTAAGCCAAATCCCTTCAGTCAATCATCTCTCTAAAAGCAAGGTAAGTTTCCCAGTTCCTTGAAAAAAATTCTATGAAGTAGATCAGTAAGCCAGAAAACCTTTTCCTCCATAAATACATTCAATATATCTACATGCTGATGTTAAGTGCCGACGAGTCATTTCCGACCCATTTGTTGTTGTTATGTGCCGTGGAGTCGGTTCCGACTCGTAGCGACCCTGCACAGGGTTTCTGAGGCTGACCCTGTATAGTATTTCGGAGGAGAGGTTATTGAACTTGAACCGCTGTCCTCGCTGTTCAAATGGACCTTGCAGCCCAGCATATTAACCCGCGGCGTCACACGAGAACTCCTAGATGCTGGTACAACATTTTAAATTGGAAGGGGTTCCCATGTGTTCAGGACATCTACATGTCTCACTGACAAAGGAAAAAACATACTGATTATGATGAGCTAAAAGAATGGTTTGAATAAAATTACTGAAGCCCCTCAATACTGGGAGGTTACTCAATATGGCATTTTTTTGTTCCCCAGAAGGGAAAAAGATGAGTATGAACAAAACTGAGTAACTTAACTTGTCATAAATCCTTGGAAAGTGTTCTGTCACCAAACACTTAACATATAAGAAGTTGTTGTTGTTAGGTGCCATCAAGTAGGTACCCACCCATAGCGACCTTATGCACAGCAGAACGAATATCCAGCTTTTAAAAATGTCAGCGATTCAATCAAATTTTTATTTTAAAACCATCTAGGTAACCTAATTTGGTCAAACCTAACTGTGGACTCAATCTGGTTCTGTTTTAAATTCTGTTGTTAGGGCCCCTTTAAAAGAATGTGTTACAAAGTAAGTATATTCTGCCCAGAGGTCTGTCCCGCTCTATAGATCAACCTTCTGATATGAGTAGTACTGAGGCAGGAAGGATGATGTTGGTTCTTGCCCAAACCAAATACACATCTCTCAATAATTGAAAAAAAAACAGCATCCTTGAACTGCTTCTCTAGGAACTACAGTAAATCCTCATGCACACTGTGGGCAATACTCTCTATTATGGAATGATTAGAGGGCAAGTAATTTTAAACACTCTGCAAACTATACGAAGAAATATCTTTTATAATTTGTCACTCAGGTTCAGTAGTAAGTGATAAAATATATAATACTTTCTGCTGCTGCAACTGGAAAAACGATCAGACATCTGTTTTACTTTTGAGAGATTTGGGAGGTTAAGACTTTGGGAACAGAAAAAACTAGGTTTAGGTCCTAGATACAGGGCAGATTAAGACTGAGCAAAAGGTTTAACAAGGCTCAGCTTCTCTTCTTGAAAATGGAGTCTGCTAAAAAATGCTGGATTATGTGAACACATGAAAATACTTTCCATGCAACTACCACAGAAACGTCACTGTATATGGCTATTACTAACCTTGCATAACTTTAGGTTCCTGCACAAAATAAAAATATACTTACACACTGGTTCCACAAGTATTTGCAAATGTAAACATCAGTACATAAATGATGTTAAAATATATCAAACTTGTCAAAATAAGGAATGTATGTACATTTCTGCAACCACTTTTGGGGATGGTGTTTATTTTTGTCCATGATGCACAAGTAAATGAGACTAGGATCAAACTGACCAGGATGGCAAAATATGGAGCCTCCGTGCTGTTTATAAATGTGTACAGTGTCTGGCACATTGTAACTACTGATTCTTGTTAAGTGCCGTCTAGTCGATATCGAGTCACAGCGACTCTGTGTATAGTGTTCTCAAGGAGCAGCTGGTACGTTTGAACAGCCAAACTTGTGATTCGCAGTCCTGTGCTTGTCCTATAGTGCCACACCACGCTCCCTATATTACTCCAATAGTTGCTAACGTCAAGGTCAGCAGTTTGAAACTACCAGCCATCCCTCGGGTGAAAGATGAGGCTTTCTGCTTTCGGTGACAGTCAGCCTATGCAGGGTTGCTGTGAGTTGGAACGGACTCCAAGGCAGCCTCAAACGCTTCGTTATTTACCTAACGAAGTGTGGCCAACATCCCAGAGCAGTTCCAACTGGAACGTTACCCTAGTTCAAACAATGCAAAGTCATCAAAACAAAGCAGCAAAAGTAACTTTTGTCACAGTTACATATCGAGAGATCTGTGCAGTCAAGTCGGTTCCAACTCGTAGCGACCCTGGATACTATACTGAGGAACAGCTGCAGGATTTAAACCGCCAATCTGCGACTAGCAAACCAGTCCTTATCCTGCAGCGCCACGCCCGGGCTTCTCTCGCACTCTGGAACCCGGGAAATGCCCTAGAAGCGATTTCACAAAGTGCATCAGCCTTGGGACACAGGGCCTTAGCGACCTCTCCTAATGGAGGGGCGCTCACCCCCTGCGGAAGCCTCACCTCCGGGTGCTCCACGACCTCCGTGCGGATGGCCAAGGCGCCGAGCCGCTGCTCCAGCTCTGTTCGCAACTCGGCGCTCGCCATGCCGTTGCCTCCGTGCCAAGTAACTAAGACCAGCCTAGAGGCCAGGGTGCAGCTTCCGGCCGCCACTAGCGTGTACCGGAAATACGTGGAGAGACGGCAAGCGCCTTCCGGAAGCGGGTCTGCACCGTTGCCTAGCTCCTGGGCTCAAGTACCCTTCGAGTGTTGTAGTCTTGCTGATGTTTTTAACCTTCCCTGACCCCCTACTTTGGGGTCCCTAGATCCGTATGGTTCCATTGAAATTGAATGAAAATTCTATAGAGCATATAGCAAGTCCTAGAGGAGCAGTGGTTGAGCGCTAAAGGTGAGGAGTTCGAATCCACAAGCCGCTCCGATCCGCGGGAGAACTATATGGCCATTCATCGGCTTTCTAAAGATTAAAACACAATTAAACCTACCGGCATGATGTCGATTAGGGTTTTGGAGGCTGTGTATCTTTACGGGAGCAAACAGTTCATCTTTTAATGGCAGACAAGTTTGAACCGCTGACCTTTCAGTAAGCCTAACACACCAGGGCTCGCTCCTTCGTGAAGGTTATTGTTGCTAAGCGTCATCGAGTTGGTTACAACTCATGGCGACACTATACAAGATATCTAATGGGCGACTGGTGGATTTGAACCACCGAGCTTTCAGTTAGCAGACCAGTGCGTATCCTATAGCACCACACCAAGACTCTTATAATTTACAGCCTTGGAAGAAAACCCATGCGGCAGTGTTACTCTGTCCTACGGGGTCTCTGTGAGTCAGGACTGACTGGACGACAGTGAGTTAAAATGACACTGTAAGCACATGGCATATAGACGATAGAAAGGGAGCCCAAGTGTTTAAGGCAAGATTCCCAGTCTTCTAGGTCTTAAACTTCAATTGTCAGTCATAATTTTACATTTTACCTTTTCTGAGAGTCAATTTTTGTTATTTTTAAATCTCCGAATAATTGACTGTGGTAACCACAGTTCAAGTTTTTCTGAGGAAATTTGACTCCTCAAACTGTCTTCTCAACGGTCTTGGGAAACCCTCATTCATGCCTTTGAAAAAAGTCAGAAATTCCACTTCAGGGTTTCATTTATTAGTTTTGATTAAGACACAAATACGTGTTTTGGAGCTGTAGGATTAGCACCGGACAGAAGGGTTGGTTTGACCGGCGAGTTTGGCAGTTCAAACTCACCAGCAGCTCTTCTGACACTCTGTAGAGTCGCTATCAGTAGGAACAACTCTACTGTACTTAATAGCAACCAATAAGACCTAAAGATGATGAAGGATGTTTAATCTTGGTGTGAATGAGTTTAAGTCATTTCTTAAATCCTCACAAATGGACCAATAAATAACATGATCAATGGAGAAAGATTGAAGTCCAAGAATTCATTTTGCTTGGATCTACAATCAACACTCATTGAAACAGCAGTCAAAATCAAAAGACATATTGCATTAAGCAAATCTGCTGTATAAGACCTCTGTAAAAGTGTTAGAGAGTCACTTGGAAGATTTAAGGTGCACCTGACCCATATCCTGGTATTTTCAATCACCTCATATGCATGTGAAAGTTGGACAATGAATAAGGAATATGTAGAAGAATTCATGTATTTGAATTACGGTGTTGGGGAAAAATCATAAAAATATCATGGACTGCCAAAAGAACAAACATGTCTTGAAAGAAGCGCAGCTGGAATGTCCTGTGAAAGCCAAGATACCAAGACTTTGTCTCTCATACTTAGTACTTGTTATCACAAAAGACCAGTCACTGGAGAGGGACCTCAGGCTCAGTCAAGTGGAGAGTTAGAAAAAAGAGGAAAACCCCAATGACATAGATTGATACAGTGATAAAAACAGTGGGCTCAAACCTACCCATTGTGAGGACGTTGCAGAGTCAGTGTTTTGTTCTGTTGGTACAGACAATGTGAGTCAGAACTGACTCTGCAGTACTTGACAACCATTGAAGACCTGGGAAAGAAAGGCCAGTTCTCACCCTCACTTTGAAACAAGTTGGGAAAATGGAATTGATTGTAATTGTTAGATGCCATTAAGTCAGTTCTGACTCATAGTGACTCGTATGCACAACAGAGTGAAACACTGCCCAGTCCTATGCCATCCTTACAGTTATGTCTGTGCCCGTTGTTGTTGGCATACCATGTCAATCCATCTTGTTGGGCATCTTCCACTTCTATCCTGACCCTTCACTTTGACAAGCATAAATCAAATATGGTGAATGTTCGAAGGTCTTCTTTATTCATCACCCAACTTTCACATAAATATGAGACAACTTAAAAATACTATGACTTGAATCAGTCACAACTTAGTCATCAAGCAAAATGAAGGCTTTGACAACTTCAATCTTTTTCCCACTGAAAATTATATTAGAAGAACAGATGCATTTGAATTACTGTGCTGGTGAAGAATATTGAAAGTACCATGGACTATAAGAACAAACAAATCCATCTTAAAAGAAGTACAGACAGAATGTTCCTTAGAACATCGTATCAAGTTACATACTATGAACATGACTTGTTACTGGTGATGTTAAACTTATTCACTTAGCTAGGGCAGTGTCTGCCAAGTTTCTCAACTGTACAGTTATCATTTTTCCCTTTTCATACTCTAGTTTTTGGAGTAAGTCACTAAGTCCAAGCCAAATGTAAGGGAAGGGAATTAAGCTTCACCTCCTATTATTATTGTTAGGTCCTTTACAACTCAGAGTGGCTATGCACAACAGAATGAAACACTGCCTGGTATTGCACCATCCTCACAGTTGTTATATTTGAGTCTATGGATGCCGTCACTCTGTCACTCCATCTCATTGGAGGAGGTGGTTAGTAATCTTCCTCAGTGTATCAGTTCTCCTAAAATCCTCCTTATTCGTTGTCCAGGTTTTGCATGCATATGCTATTGCTGTTAGTTGCCTGCAAGTCGCTTCCAACTCATAGCAACTCTGCACAACAGAACAAAACACTCTCCAGTCCTGTGTCATCCTCAAAATTGTTGTTTGAGCCCATTGCTGTTGCCACTGTGTCAAGCCATCTCATTGGGATCTTCTTTTTCACTGACCTTCCACTTTTCCAAGCACGATGTCCTTCTCCAGGGACTGGTACCTCCTGATAATATCTCTGAAATATGAGCGATGAAGTCTCATCATTATTACTTCAAAGGAGTATTCTTGTACTTCTCCCAACACTGATTTGTTTGTTGTTCTGGCAGTCCCTGCTATTTTAAATATTCTCCAATACCATAACTGTTGGGAGCAGCTGAGCCGAGGGTCCCTGACTTGGGGGCAGTTTAACTGAAGGATTGCGACTGAACAGTTGTGGTCCAGAAACTCCAGCTGCTTCCAAGTCAAGCCCTGCCTCTGAGGAACTTTTAGGGCTGCCTCAGGGTACAGGGAACTTGCAAGGTCTTTCCTTGTATTTAGCTTTGTCCTTCAGCTCTGCCTGTGCATCATTCTAGTCGCACTAATCAGTGTTCCAGCTAGCTACCACAAGTTACATTCTGATAAAGTCCCGCTTACTGCATGCATCAAAACACCAGATGTTATTCTTTTCTCTGTCCCCAAGCACCTCCCCTTGAGCTGTGTATATAATAAACTCGCTGCCTTGGTCCGTGTCACAGTATCTCCATGAGACTGCTGTGACCCACCTGGTCCCAAGTTTTTCTTATTTCTCTTGTGTCTTCCTTTTATTTCTAATCTCCTGTCACCCCTACCAGGGGTCATGGAGAATAGCCAATTGTCAGACGCAGCAGTTGGCCCCAGCACATAACACTAATGCATCAGTTCTTATACAGTCTTCCTTATTCATTGTCCAACTTTCACATGAACATGAGGCAACTGAAATTACCATGGTTTAGGACAGTCCTCAAAGTGACATCTTCGCTCTTTAACACTTAAAAGAGTTCTTGTTCAGCACATTTGTCTAACGCAATGTCATTTGATTTCTTGACTGCTGCTACCTGAGTTGATAGTGTGTTTCCAAGCAAAATGTAGTCTTTGACAACTTCAGTCTTTTCTCCACTTGTCACAGTGTTATTTATTGGCCCAATTTTGAGGATTTTTACTTTAAATTGAGGTGCAATCCATACTGAAGGCTGTAGTCTTTGATTTTCATCAGTAAGTATTTTAAGTTGTTTTCACTTTCACCAAGTAAAGTTGTATCATCTGCATACTGTAGGTTATTAATATTTTTCTAATCCTGATGCCATGTTCTTCTTTGTATAATCCAGTTTCTCAGATTATCTGCTCACCATAAAGATTGGATTGTTGTTGTTAGGTACCATTGAGTCAGTACCAATTTATAGCTATGCTTTGCACAACAGAAAGAAACACTGCCCAGTCCTGGGCCAACCTCACAATTGTTGCCATGCTTGAGCCCATTGATGCTGCCACTTTGCCAATCTGTCTCGTTGGGGGTCTTCCTCTTTTTCTCTGATCCTCCACCTTACCAAACATGATATCCTTCTCCAGCGACTGTCCCTCCTGACAATATGTCCGAAGTATGAGAGATGAAGTTTGGTCATCCTGGCCTCCAAGGAACACTCTAGATGCACTTTTTCCAACACAGCTCTATTTGTTCTTTAGGCAACCCATAGCACTTTCAATATTGTCCTCCAACACCATAACTCAAAAGCATCAATTCTTTGGTCTTCTTATTCACTGTCCAGCTTTTGCATGCATATGAGGTTATTGAAAATACCATGGCTTGGGTCAGGTGCACCTTAGTTCTCAAGCTGACATCTTTCTTTGCTCTTCAACACTTTAAAAAGGTCTTGTGCAGCAGATTGACCTAATGCAATATGTTGTTTGATTTCTTGACTGCTGCTTCCATGAGTGTTGATGGTTGATCCAAGAAGAGTGAAGTCCTTGACAACTTCAATGTTTTTTCCATTGATAAAGAATGTTGCTTATTGGTCCAGTGGTGAGGATTTTTATTTTCTTTACATTGATGCAATCCATACCGAAGGCTGTGGTCTTTGATCTTCACCACTTAAGTGTTTTAAGTCCTCTTCGCTTCCAGCAAGCA